TAAGGCACCTCTCCCGAGAACTGCCTTTGAGAGAACAGCTCTGAGAGAAGAAGAAGAGATTGGATTTACATGCCGCCCTTCACTACCCAAAGGTGTCTCAGAGCAGCTTACAAACTCCTTTCCCTTCCCCTCCCCACAACAGACACCCTGTGAGGTGGGTGGGGCTGAGAGAGCTCTGACAGAAACTGCTCTTGTTCAAGGACAGCTCTTGTCAGAACTACGGCTTGCCCAAGGTCATCCAGCCAGGTGCACATGGAGGAGTGGGGACTCAAACCCGGTTCTCCCAGATTAGAGTCTGCGCACTTAACCACTACACCAAACTGGCTCTCGTAGGGTAAGGGCAAAGAATAAAAGTTAAAATTAGCAAGACATAGTATAGAGGACATTTTTTTTTTTTTTTGCAGATATAAAGGACAATCCTTGATTCAAATACTTGAATTTTTAGGAAAATTATACAGCGTTATAACTTTAACAACCACTATAACAACCTACTCAACAATTTACCATTTTCTCATAATATATTAACATTTTTATCCTATCAGTCTTATCAGTTATATGATAAATCGTGAATAACATCATAGAAATCTGTGTATAATCTTAACAGACCAGTTTGTTGTGATATGAAACATACGAAAGAAAATGTCTTCAATATTTCATACTGAAACTATAATATAAACCATTCAACTGCATGACTACAAAGACTGGTTATACAAATCACAGAAAACTCACCTGTTCAAATTCGTCTGTTGGTCTCTGATTAATGAACTTTGCCAGTTTTGCCATAACAGCATATTCTTGCATTTTATCGTTATCCTGAATGCTTAATTAACTGTTCACCTGCCTCTACCTGTATGTATGGACTGGTAACTTCCATTTCTTTGTATCTGAAGAAGTGGGCGCGAAAACTTACACCTTGAATTAAACTTTGTTGATCTTAAAGGTGCCACTGGATTTTGTTCTGCCGCTTCAGACTAATGCAGCTACACACCTGAATCCTTCTTAATGGGATATATAGACTCATGGACAGTTGTGTTGGTTTGAAGCAATAGTTTGAGTCCAGTCAGGCACCTTGAAGACCCACAAAGTTTTAGTCAAGGTATAAGCTTTCGTGTATCTGAAGAAGTGTGTGCATGCACGTGAAAGCTTATACCCAGAATGAAACTTGCTTGGTCTTCAAGGTGCCGCTGGACTAGAGATGTGAAGGCCCGGAAAAAAACCGGGAAAAAATCAGAAAAAAACGGTTTTTTTCCGTTTTTTTTCTCGTTTTTTTCCTGAAGCCTTTGTGGGGTTTTTCCGAAAAATTGGAAAAATTGAAAAAAGAAAAGAAAAAAAATTGATTATGGAACATTTTATTTTAACAAGATGAATAAAATATTTTAAGACAAGGTGTTCAAATATTTTCCAAATCATTTCTTATACACACACACACACACACACATCTAGAAAAGACAAAAGAAATGCTAATGTAACATTTTTTTCAATTTTTCCAAAAAATTCCGTTTTTTCGGAAAAAACCCGGGTTTTTTTCCGAGCTTCAAAATTTCCGGAAATCTTACATCTCTACGCTGGACTCAAGCTTCGTTCTGTGGCTTCAGACCAACGCAGCTACACACCTGAATCTCAGGTCTCTCACCTCTGTACTGACCTCTGCTGGCGAACAGGGGGCACAATGCAAGCTATCCGTTGCATTTCCCCCTTAGGCCAGCAGAGAGCAGCAAAGGAGACATAACTCACAGACAGAAACGCAAAACCGAAAACTCTGAGCGGCAACTATTCTCCGAACACAAGGTGGGGAGGGACGTTAACAGCACCATGCTGGATTAGTCCAAAGTGGTCCATGTAGTACAGGAGGCCATCTTATAATGTGGCCAACCACCAAGCCATAGAGAGGCAGGCTTTCTTCTGCCATTGCCTCCTAGCACTGGCATTCAGAGGTGGACTGCCTCTGACTATGGAGGCTCTCTTTAGTGGCCACAGAAAGCGGCGCACTGGGGGTCCTGCTTTCCATGAACCTGGGAGCTTTGTCTCTCCAAAGCTCATTCCCTGAAAATATTGTTCGTCTCTAAGGTGCTACTGGACTCAAATCTAGCAATCCCCTTTTAAAGTGATCCACACCAGACAGCCAGTGGCCATCAGTGTTCCCTCTACGGTGAGTTAGTGTGAGCCAGCTCACAGTTTTTTAGCCTAGGGCTCACACATTTTTGTCTCAGCTCAGGAAGGACGGCTCCAGAGCAAACTGATTGATGCAGTAATCAAATCACTTGCTCACAACTGTAATGCCAGCAGCTCACAAAGTAGGATTTTTGCTCACAAGACTCCACGGCTTAGAGGGAACATTGGTGGCCATTCCTGCGCCCACCCGATTGCACTCCCCACTGTAATGGAGCCCTGCTTCTGACACTCTCTCCAAGGCAAGTGAAGGCTCTCTCCTAAGACCATCGCTTCCCCTCTCTTGCATTAGTTGCCCCGGGGCAGCTGCAAAGTTTGCCAACTCATAAGAACATAAGAACATAAGAGATGCCAACGTTGGATCAGGCCAAAGGCCCATCCAGTCCAACACTCTGTGTCACACAGTGGCCAGAAATATCAGGTGCCATCGGGAGGTCCAGCAGTGGGGCCAGGACATTAGAAGCCCCCCCACTGTTGACCCCCCCAAGCACCAAGAAGACAGAGCATCACTTGCCCCAGAGTCCCTATCTATACCTTGTGGCTAATAGCCACTGATGGACCTCTGCTCCATATGCTTATCTAATTCCCTCTTGAAGCCGTCCATGCTTGTAGCCGCCACCACTTCCTGTGGCAGTGAATTCCATGTGTTAATCACTCTTTGGGTGAAGAAGTACTTCCTCTTATCCGTTCTAACCCAACCGCTCAGCAATTTCATGGAGTGCCCACGAGTTCTTGTATTGTGAGAAAGGGAGAAAAGTACTTCTTTCTCTACCTGCTCTTTCCCATGCATAATCTTATAAACCTCAATCATGTCACCCCTCAGTCGTCGTTTCTCCAAGCTAAAGAGCCCTAAGCGCCTTAACCTTTCCTCATAGGGAAAGTGTTCCAACCCCTTTATCATTCGAGTTGCCCTTTTCTGCACTTTTTCCAAAGCTGTAATATCCTTTTTAAGATGTGGTGACCAGAATTGCACACAGTATTCCAAATGAGGTCGCACCATTGATTTATATAGGGGCATTATGATATTGGCTGATCTGTTTTCAATACCCTTCCTAATAATCCCCAGCATAGCATTGGCCTTCTTTATTGCAGCCACACACTGTCTTGACATATTCAGTGAGCTATCTACTACAACTCCAAGATCTCTCTCTTGATCAGTCTCTGCCAGTTCAGACCCCATCAACGTATATTTATATTTAGGATTTTTAGCTCCAATGTGCATCACCTTCCACTTGGCACCTTGCACTCCAGGTTGATAAGATTCAGGTGGATCCATGTCTAGAGGCAACAGAACAGAACAAAGTTGATTGTAGCAAAGGGACACCATATAAGAGAGAAATAAAGATTTATAAGAAAAAATGAAATGTAATGAATGAAATGAAGGGGTTAGAAATGTTTATTCTTGTTGATGTAAGCCTAAGAAGGAAAATGAATATACTGATAAATTAAGTGGAAAATATAGAGGTAGGAAACCTGTAGGTTAGTGAAATGAAGAGTCATGAGACAGGAAGAATAGAGATTAGACAAAGTTTGAAAAGTTGTGAGAACCTTATCACGAAAGAAAAATGTATATCGAGATTTGTTAAAGTCAATATAAACCAAATGTGTGGTTAAGTCTTAAAAGAGGATTGTTATAGAATAGCGTGCTCAATTGTGAATTTATGCAGACTAATTTATGCAGCAGCCAAATCGCTGGCTCACAATTTGAATGCCAGGTGCTCCCAAAGTGGGATTCTTGCTCACGAGACTCCACAGCTTAGAGGGAGCGTTGCTTATAACAGGCTTTGAAGCACAAGCCCTTGTGCTGCAGAACCGCGCAGCAAGTTACTTTTTTGAGCAACCGGTCTCAGGACCAGCGGGCGCGGGTTGGACCTGCCCTGCAGGCGCGGGAACCAAGCAGCAAAGACGCGCTTCTCCCGGCTTCCCGGCCCGGGGCTATGCTATGCGCAGGTCTCCGCCGGCCGCCTCTCGTCTGGCCCCTGCTGGAGGCCGGCGGGACTGCGGGCGCTGCGGGCGGCAATGGCGCCCTTCCACCAGGAGGAGGCGGCCGAGAGGCGCCGTCAACGTGCGGAAAGGGCTTGGGGGGTGACCAGGGCCGGCTCCAGCCTTTTTGGGACACTAGGCAAGGACACCTTCTGGCGGCCCGCGCGCCCACCAGTGTTCATATATAAATGCATTTTAGGGAGAATGACCCAGAGGTCCTCTTTTTTTGGGGGGTGGGGGTCCGTCCGCCCTCCTTCGGGTTGGAGAGTTCTTCGGGATATTCCTAGCGATGCTCGCTGCTTACATAGGCGGGGTACTGAGATGAGGTTTATTTTCGGGACGGATTCCTCGTCTGAAGGAGTCAGCGGGGAAACGGGTCCTCCTCTTTGGTGCTTTTCCGGAACAGGGCAGCCCCGCAAGCAAGTTGATTGAACCCCTTTTAGGGTCGCGCTTTTAGCCCCCCCCCCCCTCCTGGCTCGTCGGCTGGAAGCGCGCAGGGACCAATGTTCCCCCTAAGCCCCGGAGTCTGGTGAGCAAACATTCTCCTTTGTGAGCTCCTGGCATTAAAGTTGTGAGCGAGCGATTTGACTGCTGCATAAATCCGTTTGCTCCGGAGCCCCATCCCTTCCTGAGCGGAGATAAAAATGTGTGAGCCGGAGGCTAAAACACTGTGAGCTAGCTCACACTGACTCGGCTTAGAGGGAACACTGGCAGGGATCCTGTTCGTCTCGGCTCGGGAAGGAGGGGGCTCCAGAGCAGACCGGTTTGTGCAGCGGCCTAATCGCGGGCTCACAGCTTGAATGCCAGCAGCGCCCAAAGTAGAATATTTGCTCACAAGACTCCGCAGCAGCTTAGAGGGAGCCTTGAAGCGCTGGGATGCCTCCGCCGCCTCTCGCCTGGCCCCTGCTGGAGGCCGGCGGGACTGCGGGCGACGTGCGCGGCAATGGCACGCTCCCACCGGGAGGAGGCGGCCGAGAGGCGAGCCCGGCAATGGGG